CTGTATGAAATCCGATACACATTCCATGCGGCCTGTGTGGGCTCCGGAGTAGACCCCACAATGGTTGTATCGGGTCCGATCCACACTCCACGCAGCGTGTGTGGGATCCGATGCCGATCGCACGCTGCCCGTATCTACTCCAATACTGTTCCCATACGGCCTATATGGGTTCCAATACAGATCTCATACGACCTGTATGGGATCCGATACAGACCCCGTACGACCTGTATGGGCTCCGATACACATCCCATACGGCCTGTCGGGAATCCGATACCGACCCCATACGGCGTGTACGGGATCATATACAAATCCCCGACGGCCTGTATGGGCTCACATATCTCATACGGCCTGCACGGGATCCGATGCAGTTCCGATACGGACTGCCGCAGAACCCAAAGGGACGCCCCGCGAAGTGCGCACAAGACGCGCAAAGGGGGGTCACAACTCGCGCGCGGAAGGGCGCAACTCGTGGGGGGAGGTCGCAACCCAACCACGCTCGCGCTCGTGTGTTGCGCGGTTGCGTTGCGTCCCCCCCCCCGCCGGGCGCAACGCAACCGGGCCCCAGGAGCACGTTACCAGCACCACCAACAACAACAACAACAACAATCATTTTACCCGAACGCTCAGTGTTCTCACCAGTGCCAGGGTTTTCATACGACGCCCGCCAATACCCCCACTTTGTGGGGGGGCCGGTTCAAGCTCTACCACATTTCCAAACGACTCTTCGCCACCACCCACACCCAGCTTCCCGCCCTATGACGTTCGGACACTTCACTTCGTGGCATGCGGACGACCGTGGCTACTACACTGGCGCATGGTTTCAATGACTTCTTGTGGTAACATCTTGTGGAAACTAGCTTAGTATACGACGACGACGATTTGAAGGGCCTACGGTGCGAAAAATGATTTTATGTTGCGCGGTGCTAAAATTCCTACGAAACCCAATGGTTTTTGAAGATTTCGGCGTGCGCACGGAAAGAAAAAACGAATGTGTCCCGCATGGTATTATTTGACAGGGATGATGGCCCTGGCAGGTGCGCAACCGTTGTTGGAGAAGTTCGAAGCACGTGAAGAAGTTGATCGCAAAAGCCCGTTTGACAGAAATGTTTAAAACGCGCGAATGTCCACTTTACCTTATTTTTTGCAAGGGATTCTTGAAGTTTGGTTATTTTAGAACAAGAAATTTCATTTTATAGTGTTTTTTGCAAGGGACAGCGGGGGGGAACAAAACAACCGGATCTTGATGACATCGTATTACAACAACAACAACAACAACAACAACAACAACAACAACAACAACAATCATTATAAGACTGTTCGCTCCTACTTGCCCGCGTGTCATTCGAAATGAGTTCCCCCCCGCCCTTTTTGTCTTCGATCACATCCCTTTTGGGGAGATTATTTCTCTTTGCGGGGGGCGGCGGGCATAGACAGGCGGGAAAACCTGAACGGGCGGACAATCCTTCGTGGGCGTACATGTGCCCGCCATTGGAATTGGTGTGGGCCCTGCAAAAAGAGGAGAGGGAGAACGAGGGAGAGTGAGAGGGAGGGGGAGAAACGAAGGAACATGGAAAACGCCAGGAGGGAAGGAGCGAAGAGGGGGGCGGTTGATTAGAGGCAGAGAGAGCGAGAGAGAGAGAGAGAAATACAAACAAGAGAGGTGGAGAAAGAGAGAGAAAGAGAGAGAGAGAGAGGGGAGAGAGAGGGAAAGAAAGAGGGAGGAGGCAGGAGAGAGGAGGGAGAAGGGAGGAGGGAGAGGAAAGAGAGGGGAGAGGATAGAGAGGGGATAGGGCAGAGACGCACAAGGATGAGGGAAGAGAGGGGGGAGAGAGAAGGGACGAGAGGAGGGAGGAGAGAGGAGGGAGGAGGGACTGGGAGGAGGAGCAGGAAGGTAAGAGCGTGAATGTTCGAGGACGTCCAAAGCGAAAGCGCCGTTCCTGAAGAAGTCTCGGGCGGGAGCCCACGACGGGCGGGCGATCCCCTGACGGGCGGGTCGGGCGGGTGGGACATTCGAGCGGGATGCCTGAGTATGGCGAGAGCGCGATTACTAAGCAAATTGTAACGCGTCCTTGGCGCAGAGTGTTTCCTGAGCGTCGAAAGCGCGATTTCTGACTAAATTGCATTGAAATCGCAGGCGAGAGCGCAATTCCAGAATAAAATGTGAAGGGTTCTCTGGCGGGAGCGGGGGTTTTGATTACATTGCAAAGAAATCTTGATTCAATTACGAGGAAGTCTCAAGCGGGAGCGCCGTTCCTGAGTAAATTGTGAGAAAGTCTCAGATGGGAGCGGGGTCCTGGCAACATTGCGAGGAAGTCACAAGCGGGAGCTCCGATCCTGAGTAAATTGTGAGGAAGTCTCAGGAGCGGGGGCCCTGAGTAAATTTAAAGGAATTCTCAGGCGGGAGCCGTTGTTGTTGTAATCCGGGGGGCCAGGGGTACAGTTTGAGCACCAAGACTTTCCCTGACAAAAAACAGGGTGAGAGCGTCGAGGGGCACACTCTGATTGAGAAGAAACAGCATGCACCGGTGAGGGGGATCAACAATAATTATTCTTCAAAAATGAGAATTCAACAACAAATGCAGCAGCAACAGCAACAGCAGCACCAACAATAACAACAGCAACAACAACAACAACGACAACAACAACTAAAACAACACCGCCAACAACACCACCAACACCGGCATCATCATCAACGATAACATTAACACCACCTGCACCAGCACCAGCACCATCACCCCTACCACCACAACTACCACCGACCACTACGACTATCACTAGCATCATCAGCATTAGCATCATAATCAACATCAGCATCAGCATCATCATCAGCATCATCATTATCATCATGACCACCATCACCACCACCATCACCATCATCATCAAAATCATCACCATCACCATCATCACCATCATCATCATCATCAGCAGCATCATCATTCACATCAACAGCATCACCATCAGCAGCAGTATCGTTCCCATTCTCCCCATCTCATCCTCATGATCTTCGTCATCCCCGTCACGGCCCGCCCGAGCCTGGAGCCACGAGAGATGCCATGGCCCGACCGCCCTCCAGAGAGAAGGGCTCCGCGGCCCGGGGCCCGACGCGATGCGCGGAGATCGTCGCGCCCCGCGACCGAAGGGTCTGGGCTCCTCAACGCCACCAGCTTGCCGCCCCCCTCCTCCCTCCTCCATCCTCCCTCCTCCCTCCCCCCTCCTCCCTCCTTCCTCCTCCCTTCCTCTCGGCCAGTCGCGGGGATGGCGCCCCCACTGGCTCTCTGGGGGCCGCCCAGACGGGGGCCGTCCAAGGTGCAGTGCGCCCCGGGCGAGCCTCGGCTTGAGGCCTCCTCCTCCTCCTCCTCCTTCTCCTCCTCCTCCTCCTCCTCCTCCTCCTCCTCGCCCCCTCCCTCCCTCCCTCGCTCGCTCGCTCCCTCCCTCCCTCCCTCCCTCCCTCCCTCCTCCTCCCTCCCTCCCTTTCTCCCTCCCTCCCTCCCTCCTCCTCCCTTCTCCCGCTTCCCTTCTCCCGCCTCCCTCCTCATCATCGCCCATCCTTCTCCTCCGCGTGCCCCCCCCGTCGACCCGCACAACAAGGACGCACAATACAGATGCGAGGGACCTGGAAGGCCATGTCGACACTCTGCGAGCGGGGCGCGACCAGCGAGAGCGGCCAAGGATGGGCCCAAAGGGAAGGATGCAAGGGTAACCCTGGAAAGTCGTTCCTCCTTACCATGCGGGTTGACTGTAGGGGGAAATAGGGGGCACCTGCCTCCCCAGCTGTATGGGGAGGCAGGTCGGCGATCGGGGAAAGAGCTTACCCCACGGGGGATGGGGACTGGCCTGTCGATGCTGATGAAAGGTGGTGGCCTCGGAAGGAGAAGAGGATGGAGCAGACGTCATGTTTTGCGCCCCCCAGCTTGCAACGACGGGTATGCACGGCCGCGCGCCCGCTCTGCATCGCGCGGCGGGCGGCCGGAAAAACGTCGCTCATTGGGTATCGCGGGCTCGGCGGAAGGCAGGCCGAAGGAGTTCATCGTCCTCCCTCCCTCCCGCACCACTGTGGGCATCCACATGTGAACCCCACCCCTGCAGGTCAGACTTCTGAGACACGTGCGGGGGTCAGGATCCGAGAGATGTCTACAACCAAGTGAACCACTAAGGGGCAGCGTCGATCGGACCCGGAGGCGTAGGGGTGGCAAGTGGTCGCAGACCCCATCCGTCGGCATCTTCCCCCTCACAACCTCGACATGCAAAACCGTCTTTGAGCCTCCACATGGGCCTTGGAGTTCTCGAACCCGTACGCAGGACTAGCTTTTCGCCCTGAATCGCTGTTGGCCACCCAATGGCCGACAACGGCTCCGGATGCCAACATCAAGGAAGCGCGCCAGAATTGCAAAAAAAAGCGTCCGAGGTTTGGGTCCCCCCGCCTCCCCGTCTTCGCCCTGCTCTTTTTGCTCATCCTCCCTACCGCTTGCCAGTTTGTTTCTCACACCTTCCAAAGCCTTTCCTCTGACGGCGTCGAGAGGTCCAGCGTCCAGTAACTCGAACCGTCGGAATTCTGGGCCTCCCCCCACTCCTCGTCATCCACCCCAGACGACCTCCTCCAGAGGTCCAGCTTGAGAAAAAAAGCCAGGACGTCGGGGGGGTGTGAGCACACCTGCACCGATCCTGACAGTTGGCGGCGCGCACAAGGGGGTAATTCGGGGGGGGGGAGGCTTCTTGGAAGGAGCCCGCTTCTTGGAAGGCGCGGGCCTTCGAAGAAGCAGGGTGCTTCAAAGACGCCTTCCCCCTTCTCACTACACTCTTCTGCGCGTGGCTGAAACGGGCAAATCCTGAGTCCAGGGTCGGTGCCGGACCACGGACAGAAAATATCCGTCAAGAAGATGGGAGCCTCAGCTGGCCAAAACACACAGCACATCAAAGGGTACCATCCCCAGGATGCACAAGAACATCTAACACACACACACACACACACGAAGAACATCGGGATACCCTCTCCGAGCCGACCTCAATCTTACACCTCGGTCCAACCGTACGCCCTCCCAGCTTGGCCAGGGAGGCAGGTGCACCAATCCACGGAGCAAGGGTCAGCCCGGCCAGGAGCGGTGAGGTGGACGGCTGACGTCCCCCCCGAGAGCTCCAGGCAGCAGGGCCAAACGACAGCAGAGCAGATGGTCGGGCTCGACCTGAGCAAGGCATGACTCAGAACGGAGCACGGAGCGTCGTTCATCCGACCCCTGTCCCCAACGGCGTGGCCTGGGGCCCACTGGCCGATTTACCCCCCTGGATGGGGATACATGATCCAATGTGTTGCCGCCCCCCTGCCCCCCCACATACACGTCGGCCGGAAGAAGTAGGAAAAACCTGAAGTAGGAAGGCGGATAAAGTAGATTGGGTTCATATCCTCCCAGAGAATAACAAAACTCAGCAGATCGATTCTTGAAGTACGAAGGCGCTTGAAGTAGATCGTGACCTGGGAATCCGAAAATACCTATTTCAACGACAGGCGTGTATGGGATCGAGCCGCCCCCCCCCCACCCGCTGGATGTGCACGCCCGTGAGCCTCGCGAAAGCATCGCGATTGAGATCGCTCTCCCGCCCCCCTGTGGTCTTGGCCCTGTGGGCGTGGCGTGGTGGAGGGTGCATGTGCATCCCCCCTCCCTCCACTATGTGGGTGTGGGAAACTCGTCGTCGTCGTCGTCGACGTCGCCGCCGCCGCCGTCGTCGTCGGCGTCGGCGTCGTCGTCGTCGTCCTCGTCGTCGTCGTCGTCCTCGTCGGCGTCGGCGTCGTCCTCGTCGTCGTCGTCGTCGCCGTCGTCTGTCGGCGTCGGAGTCCGCGTCGTTGTCGGCGTCGGCGTCGGCGTCGGCGTCGTCGTCGTCATCGGCGTCGGCATCGTCGTCGTCGTCGTCGTCGTCGTCGGCATCGGCGGCGTCGGTGTCGGCATCCGGCGTCGTCGGCGTCGGCGTCGGCGTCGTTCTCGGCGTCGTTCTCGGCGTCGGCGTCGGCGTCGGCGCCGTTGTCGTGGTCGTCGGCGTCGGCGTCGAAGTCGAAGCCCGCGTCGGCGTCGGCGTCGGCATCGACGGCATCGTCGGCATCGTCGGCGTCGGCATCGTCGTCGTCGGCGGCGGAGTCGGCGTCGGCGTCCAGCGTCGTCGGCGTTGGCGTCGTCGTCCTCGTCGTCGTCGTCGTCCTCGTCGGCGTCGGCGTCGTCCTCGTCGTCGTCTGTCGGCGTCGGCGTCGGCGTCGTTGTCGGCGTCGGCGTCGGCGTCGGCGTCGTCGTCGTCATCGGCGTCGGCATCGTCGTCGTCGTCGTCGTCGTCGTCGGCATCGGCGGCGTCGGTGTCGGCATCCGGCGTCGTCGGCGTCGGCGTTGGCGTCGTTCTCGGCGTCGGCGTCGTTCTCAGCGTCGGCATCGGCGTCGGCGCCGTCGTCGTCGTCATCGTCGTCGGCGTCGGCGTCGAAGTCGAAGCCGGCGTCGGCATCGTCGGCATCGTCGGCATCGTCGGCATCGTCGGCGTCGGCATCGTCGTCGTCGGCGGCGGAGTCGGCGTCGGCGTCCAGCGTCGTCGGCGTTGGCGTCGGTGTCGTCGTCGGCGTCGACGTCGGCGTCGGCGTCGGCATCGTCGGCACCGCCGTCGTCGTCGGCGTCGGCTTCGGCGTCGGCGTCGGCGTCTGCGTCGGCGTCGGCTTTGACGTCGGCGTCGGCATCGTCGCCAACCCCCATCCCCTTGGGGGGGGCCTGTCGAACCCTGGCCCCATCCCGTCTTGGGGGGGGACCTGTGAACCAGCGACCCAGGATCATATCTGCCGCTTCCTTCGGGTTCTGAAAATATATCCCCAACTGGAGTGGGGAGATGGTGGGGGCCTGGATAGGGATGGCGATGGGGATCGGGGTCGAATCAATGAAAAACGGGTAGCACGACCTCAAGGCCGAGGCAGGGGCAGGCAGCAGGACCTGCGCCGGGCAGGCCTTCCTCTCCGCGGGCAAGCAGCGAGGCTCTGAGCAGCGCTGCTCAGGCGGCGCTCAGGGGAGAAGTGATCAGCGGGGCCAGCACCTGGCAGGAATGGCTCGGAAGCAGGGGAGGAGGGAGGGGGAGCCTCGAAGGATGAGATGAGGCTGGGGCGGGTGATAAGGACGAGAACGAAGAGGGGGACGCAGAGGGTGTGGATGAGGCATGCGGCACGGAGGAGAAGGACAGAAAAGGGGAGGGAAGGACGGAGAAGGGGGAGGGGGAAAGAAACCAGACGGGGACGAAGGGGAGCAAGATGCAGCATGGAGGATTGGCACGGAGGGAGGAAGCCACGGAATCACGAGCAAAGCGACCGTGCCAATTTCTTGGGGGTCTCTTGGGCTGCCGTCGGCAGTCTTAGGAAGGCACCAACTATACACCAACACTGATCCTGGCCAGGATAACCCTGGCCCCAGGATCGGTGTATACGCCCTCCTGCCTTGCGCAAGAAGGCATATACACCGATCCTGGGCCCAAGGTGATCCTGGGCCAGGATCGGTGTTGGTGTATAGTTGGTGCCCTCCGAAGTCTGTCGACAGAACAACGAATGCGCTAAAATCATGCGAAAAACATGTTGGGAACCTGACCAGACAAGAACGGGAAGCGTCGCTTTCGTCCACCAAGCATGTGGAATATGCTCTGTTATGGTTACGCCGCGCAAGTATGCCGTGGCGCGAGTGTCGGCGTGCGTGCAAGGTGTGTTTTGCTGTGCTCCTGTGTGTTCTGCCGTGCTCCTGTTCTGCCGTGCTTCTGTGTTCTGCCGTGACTCTGTGTGCTTTGTGTGTTCTGCCGTGCTCCTGTATTCTGCCGTGCGGATCGTCGCGGTGGAGTACGGCAGAAAAAAAAGCCAGGAGCACGGCAAACTATACCCCAAGAGCTAAGGAGCACGGCAGAAAAGACGGCAGAAAAGACCCCAGAGCGAAGGAGCACGGCAGAACAATACCAAGAGCACGGCAGAATAGACCCCAAGCCAAGAGCTAAGGAGCACAAGAGTGCAAAGACGCCAGAACAAGACCATGAGCACGGCAGAATAGAACCCAAGAGCTAAGGAGCACGGCAGAAAACGACCGAAGCACTGCAGAATAGGCCCGAAGAGCCAGGGAGCACGACAGAAAAATACGAGGAGCACAGCAGAATAGACCCGAAGCGTGAAGCAGCACTGCAAAATAGACCCCAAGAGCGCAGGAGCACGACAGAAAACGACCAGGCGGACGGCAGAATAGGTCCGCAGATCTCAGGAGCACGGAAGAAAAATACCAGGAGCACGGCAGAATAGGCCCGAGGAGCGAAGGAGCACGGCAGAACAAAAACAGGAGCACGGCAGAATAGACCCCATGAGCGAAGGAACACGGCAGAAAAAAACAGGAGCACGACAGAATAGAACGGCAAAAGAGGCCCCAAAAGAGAAAAACCAAGGCAAAAACAGGCCAAGAACACGGCATACAAACACCGTAAAAACTAAGGAGCACGGCAAAATAGGCCCGAAGAGTGAAGGAGAACGGCAGAAAAGACCAAGAGCACGGCAGAGTAGACCCCAGGAACTAAGGAGGACGGCAGAAAAAGTTTAGGAACACGGCAGAACAGGCCCGAAAAGCGAAAGAGTACGGCAGAAGAAGATCAGGAACACGGCTGAATATACCCCAAGCGCTAAAGAGCACGGCTGACAGACCCCAAAAACGAAGGAGCACAACAGAAATACGAATTCTCTGCCGTGCTTTTGTTTTCGTCCGCCGTGCTCCGCCCGATGTTCTAAGGCCTAAGGATGCCTGCAGCGAGAGCGCCATGTTTACCATGCGAGGTAGTAAACCCGCCTCTCCAGCATATCGGTTTTGCGAGGATGTCTCAGGCGATACACCAGTTGTTGAACATATGTCAAATTCGCGACTTCCCCTGTTTGGGGAAGATCAGGCGAAACGCATTTTTCTGTCATAAAGCCGATGTTACGAACATGTCAATGTTATGAGGATGTCTCCTCAGAAATCACATGTTGGGGTCGTCTCGAAGGCGATCCTGGGGTTCATAGTTGAGCTCGTTTCGGCCTTTTGGGGCCGTCTTGATGCCCTCCAAAATCATTACAGTGCGATGCTACACACATTAAATATTTGAGGATATCCCTAGCGAGCTCGTCAGTTTTAGAAGGCGGGCTTAGAGGAGCGATTCCAAGACGATGTCAGAACAGCTGTTTTTTAAATCGATGTTGTTGCATTTGATCATTGTGCGAGGATGCCCCCCAACATATAAATTGTTCGACGATGTCTCTGGCGAAACGCTCATTTTTAATTCACAACAAATTTCTGGACATTTTTCAACATATCGATTTCCTGGGGATGTCTCGAACGAAAACGTCATTTTTTAACACACGACGTCTTAACCGATAGCCTCCAACATCTCCATGTTCGGAGGATGTCTCGAGCGAAATCGTTGTGTTGGGAAACGTATCCTCACAAGAACGGGAAGCGACGCTTCTCTTAGCTTGCGTGCGCAGGCACACGGATTCCCACGTAAAGCGGAATGCGTCCCGAACTCGCTGTATATGTATTGCGTGGGCCCCGAAATCGCTATATAAGTATTACGTTGGTCCCGAAGTCGCTATATAAGTTTTACGTGGGTCCCGAAATCGCTATATAAGCATTGCGTGGACCCCGAAATCGCTATATAGATCTCCTGTTGGTCCCGAGGTCGCTATATAAAATCGCTATAAAATCGCTATCTAAGTACTGCGTGGACCCCGACCCGCCGCGAGGAGGAGGAGGAGGAGGAGGTGGAGAAGCAAGAACAGGAGGAGGAAGAGGAGAAGGAGGAGGGGAAGGAAAAGGAGAAGGAAAAGGAGGAAGAGGAGGAGGAGGAGCAGGAGGAAGAGGAGGAGGAGACCAGATGGCTTCGAGGACCCGTCCGAAGGCGTTTGTTGGAGGATGTCTCGAGCGAAACGCTGATGTTTCAACGAAAGTGTTTTTGAATAGCAAAAAACACGTGGGTTTTCCAATCGTTTCGTTTCTTGGGCCATCTTGGGGCTCATCCGAGATCGCTCCGAAAATATGCCTTACAAGAGCTCTGTCGGCATCCCATTTTTTCGAGGATGTCTCGGGCGAAACGCCCATGTTCGAGGATCCGAAAATTAGGCGAGCGATTTCAAGATCCCCATGTGTGGAAGATTTCTGGAGCGAAACGTCCATGTTTAGCAAAAGATGCCTTACAAGAGCTCTGTCGGCATCTCATGTTTTCGAAGATGTCTCGGGCGAGACGCCCATGTTCGAGGATCCGAAGATTAGGCGAGCGTTTTCGAGATCCCCATTTTTGGAGGATGTCTCGAGCGAAATGCCCATTATTGGAAGATGTCTCGAGCAAACGGCCGTTTTAGGGGGAACCTTTTCAGGTCAAGAACGGGAAGCGCCGCTTGTCTGAGCTTGCGTGCGCACGCGCAGGGATTTGCACACAACGTGGAACGTGGGCACATGGGGTTGGCCATCGCTGGGCTTCCTTGAACGCCCAGATGGTTGCCACGAGTAGCTTGTGTTGAGTGGTTGTCTCTGGTTGGTTTGGTCAAGTGTTGCGCGTGGCCTGTATGCGTGTGTGCGTGTGTGTGCTTGTGTGTGCGCGTGCAGGTGCGTATGCGGCTGTGTGCGTATGTGTGCCTGCGTGTGCGCGTGTATGCAGTATGTGTTCTGGGCGGGGGGCGGGGCGGGGGTGTGTGCGGTGTGCGTGCCGTGTGCTGGGCGGGCGGGCGGGGGGGGGAGTACGGTGGGCGTCCGTTTTAAACCGCATGGCCGTTTTAACCCGCCTGGCGGAACGCTACCTAGATCAAGCGTGGCCTTTTTAACCCGCGTGGCCGTTTTGACCCGCGTGGTCGGTTTGGCCCGCATGGCCATTTTAACCCGCCTGGCCGTGGAACGCTACCTACATCAAGCGTGGCCGCTTTAACCCGCGTGGCCGTTTTAACCTGCGTGCCGTTTTAACCCGCAGAGCCGTTTTAACCAGCCTGACCGTGGAACGGTACCTAGATCCAGCGTGGCCGTGTTAACCCGCATGGCCGTTTTAATGTAACCTGAACTGTCCGAATCACATCTTCTGGACGATTGCAACGAAAGAACCGCCCCAAAACTTCAATGATCCAAAACGGCTATTCCGGACAACTGTAACTGAAGAAGGGTTATAATGGTGTTAACAAACTTCAATTGTCCAAAACAGCTCTTCCGGACAATTGCAATTACAAACCTGCTATACAAACGCAATTGTCCAGGACCACTCTATCGGACAATTGCAATTGCCACCCCTGATCCCAACACCCTGGAGCGCTATAGACCCCAGTTCGGGGGAACTCTTCACACCGACCTTGCGCTACATAACACATCGGGGGAGGAGGGTGCCAAGGGGGGACCAGACGGGACCCAGATGCTCCCCATAAACAACTTGGAATATATCTACTGTAACGAAATAGTCACCCCTTCTGATGCGCACTTGTGCGACAAGCGAGGCGACGCCGTGGCCCAGGACCAAGTTATATATGGCGATCCGTGGCCCAGGGCACAGTTATATGGCGATTCCGTAGCCCAGGATAAAATTACATGGTGATTCCGTGGCCCAGTACAAAGTTATATGGCGATTTCGTGGCCCAAGACAAAGTTCTATGGCGATTCCGTGGCCACGGACAACGTTATCTGGCGATCCAATGGCCCAGGACAAAGTGAAGAGGAAAGGGGAAAAAAGCAAGAGGAAGATGTAGTGTCATGATACATCAAATTATATTCGGGCGTTTTGTACATCCCGCCGCCGTGATGACGCCAACGAGGATGATGACAGTGTGATGATGATGACGACGATGATGATGGTGGAGATGACGAGGATGATGATGAAGACGATGAAGGGTATCTTGGAGCGTATTGCAGTGCTCTTGAAGATTATGGGAGCCCTCTTGAGCCCCTTTTGGACCGTTTTGGTGATGATCATAATGATGATCATGGTGATAATTGCGATGATGATGATGATAGGGTATCTTGGACCGTTTTGGAACATTCTTAGACAGTCGTGGAGCCCTCTTGAGCTCTCCT